CGGTACACGGAGATGAAGACCAGCGTGAGGAGCACGAAGGCCGTGTTCCACTTCCAGATCTGGGGGTGCACGGCCGAGATGCCCAGGAACATGAAGATGATAGTCTCGGCCCCGCTCGCCAGCATCTTCATGGTGTAGCGCACGGTGGTGGAGGACTGCTCCGAGATGTTGGCCTTCACGTACTTCTGACAGCAGATGCCGCAGAAGGTGATGCTGGGGACCGACCAGCACGTGTGAGGCCGCGGGCCCATCCACGCACCCTGGACCCTGCGGGGCCCTGCTCTGCTCTGGAGGCCCGGCATCAGCCGTGCCTGGCAAAGCCGGGGCCTCTGCCCTGGACAGATGTCCACCTTCTACGTGAGCTCGGGGCTCCTCCTTGGGGCTTGGTGCCCTGAGCTGGGCCTATACCTCACATCACTGCCATCTGCTCGTGAGCCTCAAAGCAGAGCAGGCTGCCTGTTTCTGTCCCAGCCAGACAGGTGGGGCGCTCTGAGGGGGTGCAGTGCAGACACCCGGGAAGGAGGGGGTGTCCCAGCCCCTGGCTCAGAGTGGCCTGCAGCTTGGACAATTGTGTGAGGACGCCAACTCCTTATTTCAAAAGCTAAATAAATAAAATTCTTCGCCCCCACAGTGACTTTCCACTCAGCCTGGGAAGTGGGCCAGGCCCACAGGCACCAGAGGAGGGGCTGTGAAAGGTGGCGCCTCCGCAGGGGGTGGGGGGGCAGGACACTGCTCCCACCTCCCCTCACCTGGCCTCACTCAGCAGGCCCCAGACTTCCAGGTGTGCAGCGGGCTCTGGGAGGACTTACGCCAGGATGGCCGACAGGGACAGCATCTCGGAAGTGAGGTAGGACAGGTAGGAGATGACGAACACGAAGCCGGGTTCGATGATGCGCACGTGTTTGGTGAAGCGGGTCACCAGGGAGAGCAGGAACGCGAACACGACCCCCACCAGCGTGCCCCCCAGGCTCACCACGAAGAAGGACACTGCAAGGGCAAGGAAGCGACGCTGGGCTGCCTGAATGGCCTTTTGTGGCTGCGGCACGCCCTGGCCCTGCAGTGTGGGCCGGCCGATCGGGCTGGCCTTCTTGCCGGGCCATTCCTCGTGGCGGTTGCCTGGTAACCCCCCCACAGAGGCGCCAACAGCTCAGCAGACAAGAGGCCCCTTCTCTGGAACAGAGGCCGGGTCTAGCTCCAGCCTCCAGGTGGAAAGCTGGGGCGAGGACGGCCTGTGGCTCACCGGAGGCCCAGCCCCACCTCATCCTGGAGAGAGCACCGTGACAAGTGGCCCTCAGGCATGGGCTGGCAGCAAGGACGGGAATCCGGGGTGCCCAGGGACAGCCATGCTCTCACTGTCCCTGCCTCAGGGCACCAGGATGCAAACCCAATACCCTCTGGGTTGAATGGGGCAATGGCCCTCACTTCCCAGGTGGCTGGGACCTGGCAAAATTGTGTCTGAGAAACACTCCGGGGCCAGTAAAGACTGCCACTGAGACTGTGAAGTGGAAACACACTTATCAGCACAGGCCAAAGGTCCCAGGCCTGGTGCCAAAGGCTCTGCAGCTCACAGAGACGCTGCCCCGAGGTGGCCCACATTCTAGAGAAGGGCTGTGACCCCAGAATCCCCCGGACGCATGGACCCGCCAACCACACACCTATGCCTTTCACGCAGTCCACGCCAGTCACCTTGTCACCACCCAGCGTCACGAAAGATTCAAACACGGTGTACAGGACCTGGGAACAGAGAGGCAAACCAGACATGAGGTCAGCCCTCGGTCAGCACTGACCCCTCCCTGTCTTGGGCTCTGCCTTGAGCCCGAGGCCGCCATCTACTATGGAACCTGAAAAGCACTGCTTGGAAAAGCGTCACGGTGCAGGAAGGGTCAACAGGAAGAAGGCCAAAGGTGAGCCAGCAGGGGCTCCGGGAGGCAAAAACGAGAACCTGCAGGAGCAAACCTGCCCTTCCAACCCTCAGCAAAGCAGGGGCACAGTGGCCCCCTGCGTTCAATTCTCAATTTCATTTTCCAAGACAAACCTGGAGTTTCATCTTCAGTGACTTTGCTGTTATGCTGCTCCCTGATGTGGGATCACACCCCTGCTATCTTTGCATGTTGATATTTAAACCTCATCCCACAAGACAAGAGAAACACCCAGAAACTGTATCCTAGGCCGCAGTTGTGGAGACAGCTGTTTCCTGAGCCTGAGCTCTGAGTGGTGCACCAGGCTCCCCATCATGGAGGCCGAGGGGCTGCCCTGGGCGGCTGCAGGCCCCAGGAAAACGCTTCTCTGTGCTCCCAAGTCTGCGCCCTCCAGGACCCCCGGGGGTAGGTGTGTAAGGTTGTATTTACAAAAGGGGACACACAGGTGTTGTGCACAGGGGCAGCACACATGACGGTCACTGGGAACCAGACTACTGCTGACCCGGCTTCTTCATGAAAATCCAGGTGGGAGGGAAGATGGGGCCTCGTGTAGGAAACATGCTGAGAACCCGCTGGCTATGGGGACGCGAAAGCTGCAGTCCCGAGTACCCCAGCCTCAAGAGAGCCGTGTGCTGCCTTTCTGAGTAAGTCTCAAATTCCCCTGAGAATATGTCCCCTGCTCTGTAAGAAATCTGGTGCAATAGACCCTGCGGGTTTTCACTCTCCTATACCCTGAAGGAACCTGAGAAGCAGTAATTTCTCAGAGGAGCTGCAGGTACTTTTAGAGCAAGGGGGGAGCTGCAGGTCCCACTGTGTCTGCATGGGGGGTGTGGCCCGGCCAGAGCTGGCTCAGAGATGTGCCGTCCACTAATCATTCACTTTCCCCAGGTCATGGCCAAATTTGGGGATGGGTTTCAAAAACTTCATGATGGCCAAGACGCTGAGACAGTTCCTCACAGTTCCCAAATCATCTATTCACCTCCTGTCCTAAGGAAGAACCCTCCACCCCTGCCCACCGCCAGGCCACCTCCTCAAGGGAAAGTGCCTTCATGGGCACACCACCGGCACCAGCTGACCCCCTCCTGAATTCTGGTGAGATTTTGTTAGTTTATTTATTAATTCTCTTTAGAAAATCAGGAATGGGGGCCACCAACTGCGGACTCTGGGAACCGTGACTGTGGGAGTTCAACATTTGGACTGTGAACTGTGAAGGAACAAGGTGGGGGGTCTAAGAATTGTGGAAGAATGAAATCGGATTAAAACGAGCAGTCATTCTGAGTTAGGAGGAAGTGGGGGCAGAGGCCACCCCTGTGAAAGGAGCTGCCTGGGGGACATGGGTGAACCATGAGGCCTGCAGGACGTGGGCTCTGAGCAGCCTGGCCGGCCCTCCCATGCCCCTGGCACCCCGGGACACCGGCCATGCCGCTCAGTGATGGTGCTCCAACGCTCGGTGCCATCCCGCCCGCCCCACTCACCACGGTGACCGCATCATTCAGCAGAGACTCCCCAAAGACGATGATGAACAAGACCTCATTGACATGGACCTCTTCAAACACCGCCAGGACAGCCACTGGGTCCACCGCAGCGATCAGGCTGCCAAACAGGAGGAAGTCCAGCAGCCCAACGTTCAGGTCTCCTGGGAGCAAGACGGGTGTCAGGGCGTTCACGGACCAGGCGTGCGGCTCCCACTGGCCCATCCCTGCTGCCCCTCGCGCCCCCCCACTCCTACTGCTCCCCCACATGGGCCACCACCAGGACGGGGGAGGGTGGGGCTACAGGGGGTGGAGGTTGGGGCTCTGCCTTAGGCTGCGGGCCTGGTGACCGCTGTGCTGGGACCGCCAGGGTGGGGACTCAGATTGTCTTAGGGCTCAGGCTGGCTGGTGTGAGGACCTGCGTCACTGCTGGCTTTCCTCCCCTGGCTCCCACAGCTCTTCAAGAAAGGTGGGGAGCCCCAGCCATCCACAGGAGATGGCGGCCCCGGATTTTCTCTGTTGTCATCCCTCGGGCCTGGCTGACCCCTCCTGGCCGACCCACCTGGGAGCCCACTACAAGCGGGTGAGGGGTTCACAGGGTGCCTGGCTATCACATGTGACATCAGACCCCAGCCCTGGGGGGTTGGCAGCCTAAGTCAGTGTGAATACAGATGCAAGGAAGGTGGCAGGGAACTTGACTGATAGGGTGAGAAAAGGTGATGTCTCAGCCAGGACTTGGGCAACCAGGACCAGCCTGAAGGGAGGTGACAGGGAGGACCCTGGGGGCCATGACTGCTCTTGGGAAACCCTGAGGGACCCCAACAGGAGTGGCTGCAGGGTCGAGAGCGGGGTGAAGAGGAGAGAAAGATGGATGACAGGCTTGGGGGTGCTACCAGGGGAGCAGTGGTTCTGGGGGGAGGAGCCGTCCCTGGCTGCTTGCTTGCTCGTGGGTGGGGACACGGTGCTGAGACCCACGTTCAGCCTCTGTAAACCTCGCAGGTTGATCTCAGGTCCCAGATCACCAGCAGGCCATGTGCAAACACCGGTTTCCAGCCATGGGCCCGCCTCGCGGCTCCACTGGGGCAGCACGCCTGCTCCTAGCCGGGTTGGTCAGGGGAACTTGGCTGGGGCCTTTCTGCTGCCTTGTTGGTGTCGACGCCTCTCCCTTCCCCGAGTGGACCCCAGGGGCCCAGGAGCCAGTCAGGCCTTGAGGGCGGGTGACCTGAGTCCACATGGGCTGGACGCTGCTCCAAGTTGCTGGTCAAGGCGTCCGCAGGAGCCCAGCTCTCTCTCAGGGTCCAGCCCCCAGGGTCCCCTGGGAGAAGGTGGTCTGTGCAGGGCAGTCTGCTGTGAGTTCCCAAAACCCCACAGCCTGTACCCGAGTCACAGAGCTCTGAGGAAGTGACAGGTGTTAGAAGAACCAGCTTCCAGTGAGTTTTAAATGCCTCTTTGGAATGGGTCATAGGTTTTGCCTTTCCACCCAGACGCTGTCAGTGGGCAGATGTGACAGTAAGGTCCTTCCTGAGTGCAAGCCTCACTCTTGCCATCCAGGCCGGTCAGTCCTTAAACGCCTCCCTGAATATCAGCCCCTCACTGTGGAGTACCCTGAGTGACACTGTGGTACATTCCAGAAGCTAGCACTCCGAGCAGAATGTGTCCTGAGGCTGGGAGCAGCCTGCCCTCCTTCCTGGCGGGAGAGTCCACCACCCACTGGCCCTGCCAGGATGGTTCTGTGAGCCGGCCTGTGGGCTCAGGCCACCACGCCGCATGTTCCAGCCCTTCTCTCTACCTCAGGCAGAAGACCTGCAGCCTTCCCAGCTGCAGGGGCCTCTCCGACTGCCCAGAGCTTCTGCACGGCCTGTCCCTGGGCTGGCCTACCTGGACGGCCACTCAGGATGCCCACTGCCAGGTCTACCTGTGGCCCAGCCCAAGCTGACCCTTCCTTGCAGGGCTAGATTGGGCTTGAGTCGCTGGTCTACACAGGTAGACCCAGCCCTCCCAGCTCCATTTATCCAGGAACAAGACAGACTCGGCCCCTGGGCACTGCTCTGGGCCAATACCCAGCTTCACCAGCTATGTCCCAGGTGCCACTCACAGGTGTCACTGCTCCAAACCCTGAGACTGTCCCCTGGGCCCAGCAGCCAGAGGTGGCCATGTAACCTTAGGTGTGTCCTGACTTTCTAAAGGCATTGCCAATAAATGCAACTAGCCACACCTGCAGAGCCCGCCCTGATGTCACCGCCCTAGAGCCCGCCTGGTAGACAGCAGCACTTGCTCACCCATCAGGCCGCTGAGGTAGACGCCATAGAGGGACAGGCCTGTGGTGGCCGCGTTCCACACGGTGCCAATGACGGCGTACAGAAGGATGGTGCCCAGGTTGCCGAAGAATAGCCGGTTGGGCATGAAATAGCCGGCGTCCAGGACGATGGGCGGCAGCAGATAGAAGAAGAAGACGGTGGGCGTGAGCGTGAAGGAGGCGGTGTGGTTGGCTGCCCACACAATGCCGCCCAGCACCAGGCCCAGCACGATTAGCAGTGCGCTCTCGGGGACGACGCTGGTGACCTTGTGGGACAGGTGGAAGCCTGTGGGAGAAAGGGGCATTAGGGGGCCGTCCTAGCACCACAGGACAGACACGGGCCTGCGAAGGCCCCACGTCCAGCCTGTAAACGCTTCCCTCTGTCCCACTCACGTGGTCTGGAGGCCCAGCCAGTCTGTTGTCAGCTGCCCCCTCGGGACCTGGCCAGAGGGCATCCTCCTCAGGGGTCTCCCTGCCTCCTAACCAGAGAACAGCCCCTTCTATTCCACGGGGAGCCCAGGAGGACTAGAGTCAGGCTGGGCCAGGGCTTGAGGACAGGAGGATGTGCTGGATAGGAAGGGTGTAAGGCACCCATGCCCCCGCGCCCCACGCGGCCAATTCTGACCCTCATCTCTCCATCCCCCACCTGGTGACCATGGTCTACTCTCACCCTGACTGTCCCGAGGTGCCAAGCCTGTCCCTGGAGGGGCCCCATGCAGGCCAGGCCTCTGCCTGGCTTTCCCTGGGTCACGGCCCCCAAGAGCACAAGCTCCAGGGCCGGAGTGGCCAGGGCCCCCCAACAGGAACTAGCTGCGCTGCCCACATCCACATCCGAGCTCCCGGGGACCACGGGGTCCCAGAGGTCTCCCCACCGAGGACCGCAATCTGCCAGGAGCGAGGGTGCGGGGACCCCGCCTGCTCAGGCCTCTACGGCTCATTTCTCCTCGTTCTATTGTTAAGACTCCAAAAAAGTGACAAGAGAGCCGGCCGAGTGGCTCAGCTGGTTAAGAGCGCGAGCTCTGAGCAACAGGGTCACCGGTCCGAGTCCCACATGGGCCAGTGAGCTGCGCCCGAGCTGAGCCGCCAACAGGTGGCAGGATGGCTCAGCTGGTGAGAGCACGTGCTCCTAACAACAAGGCTGCTGGTTAGACTCCCGCATGGGATGGTGGCTACGCCCACCTGCAACTAATTGAACACAGCACCTTGAGCTGAGCGGCGCCGACTAGACTTGGAGCTGAACTTGCTGCACCCTCCACAACTAAGATTGAAGGACAACAACTTGGCTGTTCCCCTCCCCCAATTCCCCAGCACTGTTCCCCTCCCCCAATTCCCCCAAAAAAACTTTAAAAAAAAAGTGACAAGAAGTCCCATGTTAAGGCTCATTTCAAAGTACTGTATTTCCCCATGTATAAGACGCACCCTTTTTTGAAAAATGTGGGGTCTAAAAACTGGGTGCGTCTTATACAGTGGTTGTAGATTTTTTTACTTGCATTTCCCGCTTTTTCGCGCTTGTTGTCTTTGCGCTCAGTGTTTCGCACTTGTTTCCGGTATATTACGGTAGGTTACGTTTTGCCACGTTCTGCCCAGAAATGGCTCAGAAAAGATTTTCGTACAGTGCTGAATTCAAGTTAAAAGTGATCCAGTTTGCAAAAGTGAATGGAAATCGTGCTGCTGAATGTAAGTTTGGTCCTCCTCCAACTGAGAAAACAATCTGAGACTGGCTACGGGAAGAAGAAACCCTACTGAAAACGCCACGACAGAAGAAGGCCATGAGAGGCAAGTCAGCAAAATGGCCAGATTTAGAGAGGAAATTGAAGATATGGATTGAAAAGCAAAGGGCAATTGGGTGATTCGTCATCAGACACAGATGAGGCCAAGCTAATGGTTGGGAGTTTTGACAGTGATGAGTTATATGAATTTTATGATGAATAAAACTTGGGTTCAATAACTTTATGTAATACATTTTTTTTTCAAATTTTGGGGCCCCAAAATTAAGGTGCGTCTTTTATATGGGAGCATCTTATACATGGGGAAATACGGTAGCTGGAATGTTGACAGCGCGCTGGACCGCTTGGGCAACATTTGGCAAAATGGACTTTTCATCCACTGAAGTGGTTTATTGAGGTGCCTTTGAAACCCTGGAGGTGAGCTGTCTCCTGGGCTGCCAGGACCCCAGCCGCAGAGCACAGGCTTTACCCCATGAGGGTCCTGCCCTGCACTGACCCGTCGCCTCTGGGGGAAATTCTCGGGGAGCCTGAAGGGTGGGTCGGCAGGTTCGGATCCGGCCACACCCTTGCTGGCAGGTGGCCTCGCTGAGCCAGCACCACAGCCCCTCCCGGTTTCCTCACTTGTAATTACAGTCATTGTCGGGGCTCCCCGAGGGCGAAAGGAGGTCTCCTGTCCTGTGTCCTCACTGTTGCCCCCACCCCAATGTGGCTGAGAAGCCCAGTGACAGGCCCAGAACAGCCTTTCCAGGTGTCAGGCGACCCGCGACCTGTGAGGGACCCCTCAGCTCTGGAAAGATCTGGTCTCAGCAGCGCTCTGAGGACCGGCTGGGGGTCCCTGCCCCCACACCTGCATGCCCCCTGCAGCCTGCCATGCGTATTGTGTTCTGATCAGGGTCAGTCTTTCCGTGTGACATCCACACACAGCTCCACTCCCCACCCCGGGGAGCCTCCCAGGAAGCTGGCAGAGCCATGGCGCCCTCATGGAGGCCACGTGGCCGAGGATTGCCAAAGCACGCCAGGGCGTGGCGCGTGGCACCAGGAATGAGGGAGGCTGTTTCTGAACACGGAGGCCCGGTTCCCTGACGTCCTTCGCCCTGCCCGGCTGCTCAGCAGGACAACACCCAGAGGGCTTGGCCTCACTGGGGTTTCCAGGCTCAAGGCCCTGGACGGTGTCCTCTCTGGGCTCAGGAGGGGCCATGACGCGGGTAAGAGAAGACGGCGGTGTCCAAGAGCCCCGTCCTCGGCAGCACCAGGGCTAGCTGCAGGCAAGGGCACAGAGGGACGGCCTGGGTCCCGGGACGCTGGGGACCGCCCAACAATGCCTTCCCTCCCTGTGGTTGTGGCCCTCACAGCCAAGCTCGCAGGTCCCGGGTCAGCCCAGGGACTCTGCATTCTAGCAGCTGTCGCCTCTCTGTCGTGGAGTCTGGGAAGGGCTGGGCAGGTGTCCACCTGGAGCTTCTCTGATGGCTTATTAGTGTCCAGAGCGGGCTGAGTCCATGGTTTTCTTGTTTCCTAGTGGGCTTGGCATCCAGCAGCTGCGTTAGAAAGGCAGTGGCCCTGCCGGGCCAGCTCTGCGGCTGGCTCACTCCATCCTGGCCGGCATCTCTGTCCTGAGTCGGGCCATTGGCATGGGCACCTTTACTGCCCCACGAATTCCCAGGAGCCCCAAAGCCAACATGTTGGGGGCCACCCTGGAGGCTCGCAGAGCCACGTTTTTCGACATGTGTTTTCTGTTGTTCTGCATGTTCTGCTGGGCTCCAGGAGGCACCGTGTTTGTGGCAACCTCCCCGCCCCCCACCCCCAGCCCCTCTTGCCTTGTAAGGGCCCCACGACGGTGCCAAGCCAGCAAAGCTCCCAGGGCCCCTGGGGGGCTGGTGGTCCTTGGCGCCCATTGGCCTGTGGGCCTCTTGGAAGACGAAATCCAGCGACTGAAAGACACAGCACCGCAGGTCACTGGGCCCAGGGCCAGGCTTGGGGGGAACTGAGTGACCTCTGAACTCTAGAAGACCCCTTGTCGAGCAGGCAGAGGGGGTTCCCAGAGCTGGCTCAGGTCACATGGCACACAGGCATTTATACACCATCTCCCCGCAGTGAGAGATTCACCTCGGATCTGTCACGGTGAGTTTCCCTCTGACAACGCAGGGCCAGTGGGGGAGGGGTGGGGGTGGGGGTCGTGCGCAGAGGCTCATCTTTGAAAACAGCCACAATCCTGGCACCTGGGGACCTGCAAGTCCTTGCTGGCAGCCTTGGCTAAGCCTTTGCTGCATTCCTGTATGGTAGCTGGTTACTATAAAACCTTATTAACACATTGTGGACCGGTGATGCAGATTTGTGTCTATATATTTAGATGCCCCGTCCTCAATGTGTTAATTTGGGAAACGGGTGGATGAGAGACAGGTCGGCTGCAGACCAGACACTCTGCCCCGAGTAAAACCCAAAAAGAAAGTAACGTGCACGTTTTAGTCGCTGAGAAAGAAACATGTACATGGACAGGGCCACACACAGGCTGACTGTTTCTGCACCTTTGCTGTCAGTGTCTGAAGTGGGGTGAAGGTGGGTTCCTGGAGTGGGCGCATTTTAATGTAAAAACGTCACCTGGGTCCTTCTGCATAGAAGTGCCTGTCACGCCTGTCCCCTTGGGGGGGGGGGGTTGTGCAGGTGTGGGTGGGCGGGCAGGTGAGAAACAGCGTCCTTGGGAGGTTTATCTGAGTTCCTCTTCAGCTTTGGGAGACAGTCTTTCCTATTCTGTTCACAGCTTCACGGGTCTGCAAGCCTTTTCTTGTCCGCACGTTGCTCTCCACATACTGCTCCAAGCATATTTTCACTGTCAAAGCCACCTGTCTGTTTACTCTGCTTAGGCTGTTTTGCTGTGTGCAGTGCAGACGTTTCTTTGGGTAAATGTGTTGGCCTTTTGTTTGCTGTCTTCTGACTTCTGTGTTATGCTTTAAAAAGCCGTTCCTATTCATGTTTCCTAATAAACGTTTAATATTCAATTTAAGTATACTTGAATTTAACAAAGAAAATATTTTAAACTGCTTGTGAAACTGAAGGACCTGCCCAGTTCCAGAGGGAAAGCGCTCCCTGGAGCCCGAGTGTCCATGGCCGACCCGCTGCGCCCAGGCTGGGCCGCACAGGGACCTTTTCCTCTTCCCTGGAGTAACTGGGTTTCACCTTCTCACATTTGTGGACGGACGTGGGCCTGATGCCTGTGTTGCTGGGTTGTGTCCTGGGGTCACACAGATGCCGCCTGTTATCTTTGGGCTCTGAGGAAGGGCAGGCTAGCTGCTTCTCACCTCACCTGTGCGGGCCACTTGGCTCGTTTCTTCTGTCTGGGTGTGAGAAGAAGGTTTTTTCATTCTTGAGAACATCCTCGTAGCAAGGACACGTTTCAACGCCGAGTTCCCTTCTTTTCCCCAATATTGGGGGTGTCTTGTCAGCCTGTAGCTTCTGTTCTTCCTCCACTTCAACAGTCAGCCTCTGGTTACAGCCTCTTTCTGGCTTGGGGACGAGGGGAGGGCAGCAGTCTGAGATTGTCCTGGTTCTCCATTTTCACCCAGAA